ATTTTAAAACCATTAAAATGCTACTCTGAGGGAAATGATGACTACAAGACTGGATATTCAATGGCATGACATTCAACTTAAATGACACACAAGTGCATAATCTTTCATCTTTATCTGCTTAAAATCACACTTTTGTTTAAAATAGTAGCAACAGTCACGCTGTTAGCTCAGCAAGGTGTAAGTTAAAAAGAACATAACGGATCGGTATTCGGCTCTTTCACTTACTGTCTTTCAGACAGTATCACAGAGGGAAAAGGTCCAATGCATGGCGCTCGCTGAGATTGAACTGGAAAGAAGGGGTTAGACAGTGTATAGCACCACAACGCTCAAGAGCAATTGGTCCAATCATAGAAATTCAGTGGGGAAAACCAGAAATGGCTAAAACTCCCACAACCTGGGACAGAAGGAAAACCTGAGTTCCCAGGATAGGGTGGGCAGGCTTTCTGGGCACAGGCAGGCTTTGTTCTTTCCTTTTGTTTTCTGTTTCTTTTTTTTTTGCAAGATGTCTCCAAATGCTAGCTGGTGTTTACATGCTTCTGTCAAAAGCACTTAATGCCTGGGAGACTCAGTCCTGTTATTGAAGTTCTGTAAATAACGATCTATAATCATAACGATAATAAGTCATAAAGAAATGATGTGTGTAAAAGGATTTTTACTAATGTGGAAGAGTCAGATTGTATTTATTATCACTGTTCAGGGCAACTGCACTGCACTAGAGTGGGAGTCATATTTCTCTCCGCAGGACTCATGTTGCCTGCACATGTACATAGCAACTGCAAAATCCAGGCTTCCGGGGATTTTTAGCATTTCCCTAATGTGGATACTTTTCCTAAAGCTGTGTTTCCTGGTGTCCTGAAATCATTTCTGACCTCTGTCTTCGTGTGAGGAATTCCTTGCAGCTTACTTCTATGATAACGTCATTGCTTATAATTCTGCTTTTCTGTTCTAAGCCATTAACTTTACAAGACTAATCCAGGGAATGTGTAATAGGTGACACATTCTAGGATTCACTTGCAAGAATCTGTGTACAATTAGAGTTAAAAGAATAGTTCTCCACAATTGTCTGTGGTGGCTCCCACTGCAATATTATTCCACAATTTAGAAAAACAGCGATTCATTGGCTCATGGTGTACCTGCGTTATCCACACACTTCAGCAGTCATAATGTCTATTTGTTATGTGAGCACAGGTAGTCTACTCTTGTATGCAAATGATCTCAAAAACATATAACTAAATGCCTGTGATGTGCTGTAGATTTTTAAAGACTAATATTTTAAAAATCTTAAATATAAATAACTATACTGATTCTATTAAGATACATAACTTGGCAAGATGTACCTATGCTGAACAAGTATATAGGACTTTAGGGGATTTGAAAGAAGAAACATGTTGAATGAATAGAAATTTAGGTCAGTAAAATTCAAGTATTTTATAGTGCCATAAATTCAGAAGCAAAACACAGAGATTTATCATTGTAGCAGCGATGGTTAATTGCTTCCCAATTCCCAACCTCCCTTCCTACCCATTTTTAATCTGGGCAGTATGCCACCAGCTAAAAGCATGTATTCCCAAGTCTCGCTTGCTGTGTGGCAATTCCTTCTTTCAAATCCTCTATAAAATGTAATGGAGGATGAATAAATACAAATGGAAAAAAATCTGTAAGCTTACTTCTTTGTTATTCTATTCAGGAAAGGTGGCAAATCTCGTCTTTTAATTAATAGTCTCCCAAACAGGACCTTTGGAAAAAGAAGTGAGAGGAGTCTGAGAAACAGCAAAGTTTGTTTTACCTAACTACATACTACGTGACCATTTCCTCTGAATCCCAACCAAAAAGATGGCAAAAGCAAACAAATTGGTACCAGGTAAGATTTATGAAAGCCCCCTGATGCTATAACATATTTATTAGCAAAAAAACCACACATCTACTTCTAGAGAATAGAGGAAAAATGAAATGTATAAGCAGAAAAAAGTGAGACTTAAAATTAAGAAAATTATGTCTCATCCTTTCAATTCTGATCTTGGATCTTGTTTAAGAAATCCAAGTGCTTCTGTATAGCTCGATTTCCCAAATATTTCAACTGCGTCTGTTGTTGGCCGTATCATGTTTTCCTCTCAAACTTCCCAGTTTCTGCCTTAGGACTCCTGCAGTTCTAAAACATTCTAACTCTGTCTCACAACTGCACAGAGTGATGACACTGGAGTTTTATATCATTAAATAACTGACATTGTTTTAGTTCATACAACTATACATTTCAGCCATAAAATATAGGCCTGTTACATCAAGTATAAACCCTGTTCTTAAATTTGTCACAATATGTTTTTCATTTTTATAAATGAAGCAACTGCAGCAGAGAAAAATTACAGGACTTGTCAAAGATTATTTTCCTTGTTAGCCAAGAAAAGACCAAAACTCGGGGCTCTTGCCTTCTAAAACGTACAATTTTCTAACTTATGGAAGTATCATTTATGAGAATTAATACATACACAGAGACAGTAGAAATTCCTACAATCTAGCTTGTCAGAAATTGTACTTTAGTGATTGTGTTCATGAGTATTTTAGTCAGTGTCATGATAACGTATAAAAAACTATCTTGATTTCATAACATTAAAATATTTATTCCTACAAAGCCCCGAATCACCTGGGATGCTTTTGCTTCAAACTGTGTATACCGGCGGGGCAGGAACTCTGTTTTCCTGCTTCTCTCACTGTTCCCAAGACAGCCAGACTGACTGGAGAATGGTTATCTCTTCCCGATGACAAATGCACAGCAAGGCAAGTACAATGTCATGATGGTTGATTGACTATGTTAACTTGAACAAGAGAAGCTCCACTAAATTGGCTCAGCAATTCCACCCTCTAGAGGGTTGAACCACCCGCGGGTAGCTTGTCACCTGGATGGTGGAAATGGAAAATGAAGGGAAACAGATCTGGTTCTGTTTCTTGAGAGGAGTTCCAGTCTTCACCTGCACCTTGGATGTCATCTCCTGGCTTCCAGCAGAGACCCATCGGCCTCCTGATCCGGACTCGCATGGGTCACTACAGTGATACCCAGACCTTCCACTGGACCCTCCCGATCCTCAGGGCACAGTCAGAACCTCTGATTCTGCGGGAGGCCATTGTAAGCCAATCTTATAAATTCGCATCTATATGTATCTTATATTATATCTGTTTCTCTAGTAAACACTGACTGTTACACTGATGTCTTTTAAAGCATCTCACCAAAACAATTTACAAGATCACCTCTAAAATCAGTAAGAGAGGGAAATGCCCTACAATCCACCCACTGAAATGGGGAGGGGCACTAACAGTAGTGTGGCCCTAACCCTTTTGGGAAACAAGTGGAGAAGGTGGCCAAGTGAAGAAATGGGATGATAATCACTCTTCTATGATGTTTAGAAGAAACCAGAGTTTTTATGAAGGTTTACTCTGTACAGTACATGCCGATCACAGATGAAGTTCATAAAGTTCACAGGCAAATTCCTTCAAAAACTTGTAAATGTCCCTTCATTTTCTAGAGAAGCCAAATGTAATCGAAACCACAAATGCCTTTTAGGAGAAAACTGATAGAGAAGGCAAAGAATGTGATGGATGAAATCTGTCAGCAATGGTTTTTAAAGGAGCTCATTTAAAGAAGTAGATAAATGTTTATTACTTAAAAAGTAAAAAAAGATTGAATGAGTGAATTTTAATGAATACAAATGAGTTTTAAAATGCCAGATAAGCAGAACCACAGTTAATAAAAAATGTTTTCTTCACTAATCTGTACGTGTATCTGTGTATATGCACTTTACCAATAATTGTTACTGGATACCAGACACAAAAAGTATTCTTTCATATTTTTTAGTTAACTTAGTATATATTCGGAAACATAATAATTACATTCACCTTGGAATTTGGTAGATATACATATTGCATCTCAATAATTTTTATTTCTCCTTCATCTGCCCATCCTCCTGTCACTTCTTAACCCTTTTCCAACTTCAGCCTCTTCTAACCCCAGCATTCTGGGAGGCTGAGGCAGGAAGCCTGCAGTTTTAACATTTATCAAGACCCTGTCTCAAACAGATTTTCTTAAAAAAGGCTAGGGATACAGTTCAGTGAAAAGGCCCTCAGTTCAGTCTTTAGTACTAAAAAAAAAAAAAAAAAAAAAAAAAAAAAAAATCAACTCAGTAAGGGAAAAAGAAGATAGATTTTTTGGTTTTTGTTTGTTTGCAATATTATATAAGTCCACAGGGTCATTCAATATGTTAAGACTTTGTATTTCAAATATACTGCTCCATGTAGTGACACTCATAAAACTTCTGAATGTAAAGGTTTTTAGAAAAGTATCTGACTGTGGCTCAAGGGACAGCCCAGTGTTAGAGCACTTGCCTAACACATGCAAGGTCCTGGATTCTGTGGCCTGCACTGTGAAAACTTACAATATCTGACTTCAACTGACAAGGAGCAAAGAAACTTGTATAAATTACAGCTGAATGATGAACTTTTTCTGAGTACTTGTATTGGCCATCAACCTGCAAAAATCTGAATTTATTATTTCACATTGTTGGGAGAAAAACTTACGGGTTCCCTCTGGAATCAACTAGATCTTGATTTGTAACCATTTATTGGAAATATATTAATAACACAAAAAAATCATCAAGTATGATTTCAAAACCTGACCGAAAGACATTTTTGAACTGAATAATAAAACTCAAGCCAGTTATCTTCTTCATTACTGACACATAAGGAAGAGAATGTCAAATTGTTTTTTGTAACTTAATTACAAACATTGCTTTTTTGTTTTTTCATGAAATCATAATCTCATATGTTAATTTTTGGAAATCTAACAGTAGAAAATGCGTGCATAGTCTTTAACTGTCTTTTTGATTACCAACTATAGAATTTACTTATTTATGATTTTAATATAATCATTTTTAGCTTTATACATGTCTTTATAGAGCAGATATAATATTATACATACAATGAGTTATTATTGCTTCTGAAATTTAAATTGTTTTTCTTGGTGCCCCTTATCCCTGGAGGTACTGCAATACCAAGTCGATGCGTGGAATGGATCGAGCAAACTTCTGTGACGTCTTCCAGCTCCAAAAAGCCACTTAATGCGTTATCCTTAGATAGAGGAAGTATCAGATGTTAAACTGATAAGAACAGATACTACACTTGATCTTAGCGAAAAGGCCAAGAATTGGTGAAATTTAAATTTAGAATGTAAATATTTTCCTATGTTGTAGTCAGAGTTTGCAAGGGAAACAATATATAATTTATAGGATTATTTTATAATATTCACCTCAATGTCAAATGCAGAAGAATGCAGGAGATATGCCCACACACTAGAGACCCAAAAATCCAGCTGAGGGCCTGGATCCCACAGCAACGTCTTGCACGAGCCTAACTGGATGCCTAGAGCCCACAACAATGTCTCATGAAAGTCTTTACCAAAGGTTTACACTGGGAAAGCCCAGAGGTCCATGGTAGAAGCTATCAAGTCTGCTCCAACAAGCTGAAGGATCTGCACAGGAGCTGGGAAACAATGCTCAGGGTAAGGATCAGAGCTCCCCCCAAAGAACTGCGGTCATCCTCTGTGACAGCAAGGTCCTGAGCTCCTCAGATGATGAGAACGCTGAGTTCATTATGAGGAAAACCAGCAGGTCAAGCTTCTCCAGAAGAATCGACAGCACACCATTTTCTCTCCATTTTTCCTTTTTACATTTTTGGCAGCAATCCTCATTTGGGCCATCCATACCCAGTACCACACTGATTCAGTTCAGCTGGATGTTACTAGTTGACCATTAGTTAATCCACCACATGCTGCATTGAAAAGTTCATGGTAAGTCAAATTTTAATAGTAATGATCAATCTGACACATTCACTAAATCTAATATATTTACTTAAATATTAGCATATTTAGACCACTGCCCTTTAAAGTCATATATTTTACTAGCTATGCACATATACATAGATTGTAGGCGTAAGAATTTCAGATTAATAGGGCCATATAGTAAAGTCATAGGGCCATATAGTAAAGCCTTTTTAACATACATTGTGTTCAGATTCCCAAATTACTTTCCAAAAATGCTTACAATTGATAATTCTACTAACTTTACATTTGAGGAACAGTCTTACTTATAACTCACCTGCCTTTTTTGATCCTACTTTACAGCAGATATTGTTAATTTGAAAAATGAAAACTGGGGGCTGGGGATTTAGCTCAGCGGCATAAGCGCCTGCCTTGCAAGCAGGCAGTCGTGAGTTCCATCCCTGGTACCGATAAAAAGGAAAAAGACAAAAAAAAAAAGAAAAATGAAAACTGGCTTCTTAGTAATGCTTTAAGTCAGTATTTGTTCTATTACTAGTAAGATTAATTTGTCTTACTCACTAGTTGTATATGGAGAATATTTAATCTTTGTCTGACTAACAGGTAAGGCTACCCTACAGATGTTGAACTTGCTAGCCCTCGTAAGTCCTTAAAATCAAGTTCTCTCTTCCGCTGACTCTCTCTCTCTCTCTCTCCCCTTCACTTTTTCATTGTCACCCTTCCCCTCACCTCTCTCACTTCTCTACTTCTATAGAGACCCCTAGTAATATAACAATAAAGTTTGAGAGTCACAAACCGCAACTAGTAATCATATATTTTTATAAATATGCACAGGATACTCATGCATCATTAATTTAGACTGCTGTCTCCATTGCATACCAATACATATGAGTCACAGAATGTAATTATTACTAGCTGTGTGTTTTATGTAGGAATAGCTCCTAGAAATACTCCTATCTTGAGTGAAACCCAACACATCCTCTATCATGACATGTAGGAGGTCATACTACAACATTAAAATATTCTATGGTATGTAGTACTCAGATTGCACAAGAGGGTGAACTGCTCAGTCAGAAAGTAACACAAAACATCGTTCCAATCATGAACTATCTAAAACTGTACACAGAGTATTTGTTTCTTATTGATGTTTAGTCAAAATGGAATTTCTCTGTATTTAGGAATAGCACAAAAATTCACAGTATAGTATTAACAGTGAAACATATATTTCTCATTTGATACAATTATGCAAATATAAAATGTATTCAATGTCAATTGCTTATAAAGCACAAAACTATAGCATTATTAAAAAGTCATACGGAAAGTTGCATTTTAAGTATCTAGTCATAAACAATAAACACAAATCCTGAAAAATCATATGACATGAAAGACTAAAGTCTTTTTTGTGTTAAATTATGAGTATAGTCAACAATATGATTGCTTAGAGATGAAGAATTGAACAATAAATGAATCTCAAAAAGAAGGAAAAGGCTTTATGTAAGTTTAATGATTTTGATAGGGGTTTAATAATTTACTAGATTTAGTAATGTTTATATTGGTTAAATTTCAAAAATATGTGATTTGTGTCAATTTCTTTTTCATCCTAAAAAATTCACCTTCACATTAGATTTTGTGTTTGTAATTTCATTTGTGTTTCTTATTTTTTTCTTAAACAGCCCTGGAAACCTCGCAGCCTTCAGGCCTTACAGTCCTGGATCTCCCTTTGCTCAGAAGTCTCACTCATGGAGTGCAAATCCACATTTTCCTGGAGTTCCCACTGTTCTATAGTCAGTGGAGAATGCACAGCCCCAGGCCGACCACCTCAGCCTCCACAGGATCCTGGGTGAAGTTTTGGCTGCAAGTCCAAGCAGCTTCTCTAATCTGAGGTTATTTAAACCTTTAGATGAAAAAAGACAGTGGAGCATTATGCACTCTCATCTCTAATAATGGGCTTCAGTGGAAAAATAAATGCTGAAGAACGAGTTAGTCAGTCTGTACCTGTTAGCACAGCCTCAACAATTAGGGTGTTTTGCACTCCTATAGTAACACTCCTGATCCACTGGTCTCCTGAGGTAGAGGCAAATTGCTCTTGTTAAGCTCCTGGGCCGCAGCTGTCCCTAAGTAATGCAAAGAAAAGCAGCTTAAAAATCTTTTTTTACTTCCAACTTTACGGTGAATCACTAGAAGGAGTTGTTTCAGCGGGTCGCTGAGCCCTGCTCTGAGTTTCTTACTGGGTACGTCTAGGAAGAACCTATAGTTTGATTGCATAGCCCAGAACTGCTGTAAATCCCACCTTTCCCTGTCCACCCTCTGAAGCCCATGCCCCAGGCTGCTGCTGAACAATTACCCTGTTCCAGCCAGGCTGCCCTCTCCGTGGGAGGGCTTTGCTTTGCCATTTCCTTGAATCTGTAGTTTTTTTTTTTTTTCACTTCTATAATTTCTTTAGTTACTTTTCGGGTTCTGAAATTTCTGTTTTACTATTTTGGCAAAAACAATCTCTACCTCCTTAAACTTCCTTCTGTCTCCTTCATTTAATATTCCCCTAAAATCTTGGTAATGAGACATCTTGCTTTTGCCAAATGAGAATGGAATAATGTAGAAAATATCCTGTTACTCTTAAATAACAGCATAAATTATAACTCTACCAAGAAGTTGTCACCTAAAATCATATCTAATGGGAGCTTGCCTTTGCCACAGTAAGTTACTTCTGGAAAAACCATTAAAATAAAAGGTCAGCTTGATAAAGAAGGAAAGGGGAAAATATTGTGACAATACACTAGAGCAGTGTTAAAAGTTTCTAAAATCAGGGATAGTGACCCCAAAGCTACAATTATAAGCATCTCAGACTGAGAATTATCAAATCAAATTGGTCCATGTTTCCTTCATGATGGAAATAAAATTCTGAAGAATCTAGATTTTGCAGCAGTATTTTAATCATATATGTAGTGTTTTTAACCTATTTCCATGTATACAAAATAAAAACTAATTCATAATAAAATACTTTTTTGAACAATGACTCATCTTATAAGGAAAAGTAAATATTTCCAGCGAAGGAAAACAAAGAGAAATAACAAAAGAATGAAAAATGTGTAGATAGTCAATGTTATAGTGTGATTGAGATTTTGTTATAGGAAAAAATATCTATGCTCTACTTATATATTTATTAAAAAATATATTTTGCGTATAGTATATATATATATATATATATATATATATATATATATATAATTTATTTTCTTATCTGGTCTCTATTTGTTCTCCTTGGTGTCAGGTAGGGTCTTGGCATTGCCCTAAGTACATCTACAATAGGATAAAGATGAAATTGTAGATTTGTAGCTAAAATTTAAAAACAATAAGACACGGTTTTGAATTACTATTTTTACTCAGCATAAATGTGTATCTCACACAATCATTCTCCTACGACCCTCTTTTCCTAGTCCACTCCAACATACTGAGGAACCGAGTACACTCTGAAAAGCTCAGTACAAAAGAGTTGAAATCAACCACACTTTTTTCCCTTTAAATTAAGAAGAGCTGAACGTAATTTCACAGCTCTTGGGAGACAGCTGTCAGTACAGACACAGACACAAAGCTCAGTGTCTGTGCCTCAGGGCCGCCAAAGGAAGCCGAAGGTCTCATGCACATAGCCCTGCTCTCCCTGAAAAATGAAAGATGAGTACCAAATTACAGTAATTTAGACTATTTAACAATTTCCTAATAGAAATGAGTCACAGGCATCTGTGGAGTACAGTGAGGTTAATGATTCAATTGCATTTTGATTACAAAGGACTCTTAATCTGCGGCAATCTCCAAAAGGCTAAATGAGGCAGTATGCAATGCTTGTGCAGTATTGTTAGTGCCAGTAATTCCAAAGGAGCACACTGTTTAAAGCTGGTCTTTTGTTTACCAAGTAAATTATTTTACTTCACTGGTTTAGGAAAAATGAGTATGGGATGCTAAGTTGCAAATTCCTTGAAGCAAATTTAGTAAAAGTTTAATTTGCCTCCTGGGGTCTGAACTGTGATGAAAATTTCCTCTGTGCATACCAGAGTTGTGTGTAAAGACACTTCAATAATCAGAAAGTGCCCTTACCTATGCAAAGCTCCTTACTAAGGAGTTCCAAGTCCACAGCAAGACAATCTTCTGACAGTATCAGGTTTTATTAAGCATAAATTCCTGATCTTAAGAACAATAGAAAAATGACAACTTCAGAGGTGAAGCAAGGATTGGAAAGCAAGAGGGTGCCAGAGAAATTATCACTATGTCATAAGCTCCCCAAATTTCTGTGCTTGCCTTCAAGTGACAGGAAGGGAAGGATTCTTTGCAGACTCTCTTAAGTTTTCTCTGAATGTGAATGCTTCAGCTCCATATGCTGTTAGGAAGAGACTGAGCAGGATTAAACTTCACCTGTATTATTGCTAAAGACAGTAAACAAAATCCTCTCTAACATAAACAACAAACAGGGCAGTGCTGATGAATTAGATGTTAATTTTGCAGCGCACATAACACCGAGAGCACAACTACAGATGTATTTTTTACCAGATATAAAATCTGTGAATGATGACATTAAAGCTGATCTACTTCTTCCTCCTGGCCAATAGAGAGGGAAGAAAGAAAGTCATTGGATGAAAACACAAGCTTGGAAAAACAGTGGCTACCATGCAATTGCCTCTGAGCAATATACTTACATGTTAGAGGAAGATTTCTGAATACACAGTTCCTTTGCTCAAAAGAATTCTTAGCACTGATCTTTTTAATGTTGTGAGAAACCAGTGGGAAGAAAATTTATGGAAGGGACCAAGTGGTGATTTTGCCATTAGAGCAATTGTAGTTATAATTCTAACAAAAACAAATGACATCCCTGAGTTAGGTCCTTCTGGTCTCTGAAAAGTGGACTTCTTGACTATGAAAAGAAGAGTGACAAAATTTTGTCTAAGATTGCCATGGTTTGTGTTAGTGGCCCCCAAACCTCATGCAGTTATGGACACCACCAAGTCTAGTGTCTGTGATTGGTTTATTATCTAGGGCTTGGATTGGTGGTGTGAAGGTTTTACACGCCCAGGAGTGGAGCCGGAATACAATGTTACTGGTGTGAATAGGTGTGTCTCTTTCCCAAGTTCATTCCTCGCTGTTTGCCGTGGCCATGAGCAGCAGCCCTGCCTTGTAGCCAGCAGAGTGTGAACTGAAACTCCAAGAACTGTAAGAAATAAACCTTTCTTTCCCTAACTTTGGGCATCAGGTATTTTGTCTCAACAACAAGTAGAAATTAATTGTGACAAAGATCTATTTGAATTTAAATGACATTTAAATCTTCTATAGGGTTCTTCTAAGTCTTACTATAAGGATCACTTGAATCACAATGACATTTTATTATTTTATTTTTGGTTTAAAAGATGTAGTTGAGACATCATTTTGATCACTACACCAGATCTCAAGAGTCAGGAGTAACTGTGTTTCAATACTGGTACCTCTACCTATGAGCAACATGATCCATACGAACTTATCTAAAAGTCTGTTTCAGTTTCTGAAAAATAAAGAGGACAATAATTAATCTGTACAGTTGTTGTAAGGATTGAATATGTATTAATCAACATAATGACCTTTGAAGTATTATGAGACTGTAAACACTCACAAAGAAGATTATACAAAATCATTGTTGTTTTCAGTCACTGTATTTTGCTTTTAGAAATACATTTGCTTACTGGGGCACCAAAAATATTGGCCTCATCAGTTTCAGCTCTCATTCTCAATTTATCCTTTTAAATCCTTTTTAAAAAAACCTGTAAAACTACCAATTTAGTTTATGCAGTTATCCAGAATAACCAATCAATTCAATTGAATTAATGCTTTTATTCTTTAAATTCTTTGTTTCTACTGAATCCACCAATTTTGACGAAACCAGAGAAATGTTCACTTTATCTGGAATTCTCTGTTTTAAAAATAACTATTGTTCAACAAGTTTTTAGTGATTGTTTTTCGCCAAGTTTCCAAGATTCTTCATATGCTCCCTGCATATGAAAAATCAAGAAGGAAAACATTTCTATAAAAATAGTTATTTCACTGAGAGAAGGAGGAAAAAAATATGTTGAAGAATGAGGGAGCATTTGTGAGCAAGAAGATTGTCTAATACTGTGAATGAGAGAGAGAAAATTGGAAAGAAAACTACACAGAAAAAGAAGGAAACAGACTGAGAGACTAAAGCAAAATTAGCTAAAGATAAGTAGGAGAATTAAAGAAATGAGGGAGTAGAAGCCAAGAAGATAAAGTGTGATGAAGAATAAAAAGAAATAAAAATGTGTAGCAATTCATGTGCACAAAAAACTCAACCTACATTTGTTTATTAATGCATAAATTTCAAAAACACCAAGTAAGGATGTGATGAAAAATACTCATAATCTCAAAAACCAAAAATGGAGATTCTTCTCCTTCATCTTTATTTATTAATTTTTTTAAAAATTAAATTCATTCTTACTTTTATAAGCTGCATTGCCCTCTTGTAAAATTTTATTAATTTTACAATTATCCTTAAGGCTAAATAATTTATTGAAATAAAATTTTTGTCCTGTCCTTAATTTACCTTTACTTCTTCCATTCAAAGAGGAAATGGAAAATGAACCATCGTTCAAATCATCTATAGAAACCTAAAACAGTGCATTTAGGAAATGTACTTAGGATTTTGGGTGTATTGTTATGAAATTCTACACACACACACACACACACACACACACACACACACACACATACCTACCTCCTGATCACTACCTTTATTTTACCATTCTAAACTTCTGTTGCTATAAGTGGAAAACAAACAAAAATTCTACAAAATAAATGAGTCTATATAAGTTCTATCCTAGCTACAAAGAAATTAAGCAATAAACAGCCAAAAGAAAGAAAGAAAGAAAGAAAGAAAGAAAGAAAGAAAGAAAGAAAGAAAGAAAGAAAGAAAGACAAAAACAAGTAAAGAGAATTCGCACAGGTCAGTGACTACTAACCAGCTGGCTTTCACCTGGAGACGTCTGTTGCTGCTCATGACCTCAAGCTTCTTGTTAGTGTTGTGGTATGAACATGGACCAAAGACCAATCCTAGTTCCTCAAGGTAGGGATGTGAAATGGAGGCTGTGGCTGAAGCTGGGATTCCAGACAGTTGTACCCTCAATGTAAGCATGAACTGGATACTAAAGTTATATCACAGAGGAAGTCTTCCTATCTTGATGGCCTAAAGCACACACACACACAAAATCACTAACAATGGAATCTCTGATAATCAAAAGAAGTTTTATAACTCAAGCGTTAAAGGGCATATCAGTAATGAATCATTATTAACCGAGTGTTTAATATAGAGTACTTGACAAAATAAAAGATGTATGTCAAGACTGTAGAAAAGGTAGAAAGATCGAAAGAAAATGTGCTTTTTATTAAAATTAGGAAGGATTCAATTCAGCAGGATAGTGACTGTTTATACTTGAAGGTGAATAAACTGAAGGACATCAGTCCTCTGGGCATTTTCAGAGGCACCAAAGTAATTTATTGAACACTGAAGGATGCAGTTTTTTTCTTAAAGTCCCCAGGGAAGCAGGGCTGATTGAAGATGTATCCTATTCAACCTAGAGAGGAAAAAAGTCATCTTTTCAGAATTTTGGGTTGTAGACACTTGAACACAAGAGCTCTCCTTGTCTTCTATACCAACATCTCTAAATCTGATTTAAAGAATATCTCCGGAGTATTTGTTGCAAAACTGGCACTAAGATAAGCACAGGCACCACAGAAATTCATGAATTACGTGTGGAGCCCAGGAAGAGCTCATTCTGGGAGGAAGAACAACATAGACTGATTGTTAGTGCACAACAGAATAATGATGGGTGACAGAAGCCTGGAACGGTGAAATGGGGTAGGAGGGCAGCAGGCACTGCAGTTAGCTTTGATGGAGAAAGACATAGCTGTGTCTCATCCAGAACAGACACAGGAGAGCTTGAGAAAAGCAGTAAAAAGATCTGTTTGAATTTATGAGACAAATGGCATGGAAAAGGTCTCAAGAATATAAAGGGGCTTTGTGTGCTCATGTGGTTAAGAAATACAAGGTCACTGAATACAGTGGTAAATGCCCATGGCCTCATCACTCTGGGAGCCTGGAGTAGAAGAATCTCAAGTCTGAGCTCTGCCTGAGCAATTGAGTGGCTTATTGAGTTCCTGTCCCATGTAATAGTGCCGAAAAATTCACTTGGTGATCAATCACACAAACACAGGTAGAGATGGTACAATGTCATTCTGGTAACATAAGGGTGTTCCCATGAAAAATGAGTCAGATCCTAAGAATCTGGTAGAGGCCACGAAAAAAAATTTATGACATTTGCTTTTAGTTTGTCTATACTAATTGTGGAACTAAGATGCATTCAGTTATTAATTCATTTAATCAACCAATACTTATAGTTATTTCCTATTATGTATGTTATCAATCTGGGTGATGAAGACATACCAATGAAGGAGACAAGACTGATGTTCCTATGACACTTCCATTCCAGTAGAATCACCAAAAATTGAAAATAAACAATGTAATTTGTTGCAGCAATTAAACAAGTATCGGCATTCCAAACATAATATGCATCAGATAATTGTGGGTTTTGTTTTGTTCTGCCTCAATATTTTTTAATACAGAACTCTAAGCTCCAGTCATTAAATATATGTGGCTTTTAAGAAGTTCCAGAATTCCTCCTGCAGAACCTTGATACAGTGAGACTTAAGACACAAGAGTATAGCTAAGTACTTGTCAAACCTTCTATGACGAAGGCCCAAGATTTTGTTCATGTTTTTCTTTTCTTTTTAAAAATTTCTAATCCATGGCAGACCAATACTTTTATAAGATAGAATAAAAGTAATCATAAAAATGAAATATCAAAATGCTATAACAGTTTATCATTGTTTACCTCAATTCCTATAGTTCTCCTACAGTGACAGACAAGTTATCCATTTGCGTACCAGCATCAGACAACTTTGAGAAGCACTGGTTCAAATTTTAAGTGGTTTTTGCAGCTCACAAGAAGCCCCAATGATACTCTGTGACTCAAAAGGATGGCATGAAGGAAGAGGTAAAAAGGGGAGAGAATCCTGTAGGTAAAACAACATTTAAAAGCATATGAAGAAAACCTTAGTTCCCATAACAGCCACCAGTAAATGTTCAGTAAATGCCTGTGTCTGATATTATCACAGAGACTGCATTAAATAAGTGAATCTTTGCTATGATGAGACTAGTAAATGAAATCAAACAGCTCATGATTACATTAAGCAATCTGTGTATATGCACAAAATACAAACATGTAAGTATAGGAATGCATGTCTGCCATGTATATACAGAGAACATATATATTTTATAAATGTCTATACATGTGTACACATATACTTGTACACTCATGTCTCTTTTCCAGTGCATTATATATGGGGCTATTATTGATTTTATAGAATCGTGCCCATATTTTATCCTCTGCTATGCTATTCCATAGAGGCAGTAAAGATACTTATTTTAGTTCCTTGATCGTATTTTGTGTAAGAGCCACTCTTTTCAAAAATGTGTTTGTACATCATTGTAGTATAAATGTCTCAGTGGCACACATAATAAAACAACACATCAATGTTATATTTCATTAGGTCATTTGGAAAGCTATTTTTTGTTTCTTTGAGGCAGGATCTCACTATGCTGCTCAAGGTGGCCTTGAGCTCACTTTGTAGCACAGGCTGGTTTCAAACTCACCACATCCTGCTGGAACTACAGGCATGTGCCACATGCTTGGCTTTTAAAAAGTGTTTTGAATCTCCCTTTGGTTTATAAGAACTTAAAGGGAAGTTAAATTGCACAAGAAGGTTATGTTAAGTCATTGGGAGTTGTGTTTCTCCATTCCTTCCTGTCACAAACTGTCTTCAATTGCCCTAAGAGACAACTGAGTCAATAAATGATGCAGCTGTGCTCCTCTTCCTATTGGTCACCTGAAAACGTTTGCCAAGAAGTACCCTAACAAGTAAGTTTAAAGTTTTTATCAGTTAAGTTCAAACTTACGGAGTATACTCCAAGTGAGGACATTTTACAGCATGCCTCCTGCAAATCTTCAGACTTTTATTTACTCAATTCTGTGTCTGAAAGGCAAAATTTTTTCTGACAATACTAACAGATTTTTATTTGAATTTTCTGATACTAGAATACAGACTTCAGTTTACAGATTTTTCCTTCTTGGTTTCAGGAAGATGTTTGTTGTAGAATTTTTCAATGTTTTATCCGTAAATTATAATTCAATACTCAAACAAGGTTTATGTTCTTAGAATAACAAAACCGGGTATGGTAGTAATATGTTTCAGTGATATTCTAAAAGCTATTATGGAGCATTTGTGACCATAGGCAAGAAGTTGGAGGTATAAATGTCTCACAGAAATGAAGAGGTTTTGAAAAGTAAAGAACATGCTGAAATGTTAGTAAAACGTAAGTTAGAAATAATGAAGCATTGTTTGTATAACAGGAGCAGAATTTTGAGACAAAAACATGACAGATTCAGGCAATACGCAAAATAAGGAAAATCTGTATTCTCTGCTACCTGCCTATTTCCTTCCCTGTAAGAAAAATAATGGGAAAATCATTTTTATCCAAATGATTATTTTTAAACCTAGAGTTACTTTAGAGAAGTTCCCAGCTGAGATAAATAGTCTTACCTGCCTTGTGGATCAATAACTGTCTTCATAAACATTTTTAAATGCAATAATCAAACAACTCAAATATGGATATATAAAAGTTAAGGTAGCTCCTAGCCTTAACGTAACTCTTGTACTCACTATTTTAAGAAGGCTGAATTTTCATTTCTTCTTTTAGCATTGAAAGTGTCTCATGGATAGAGATTCCTTTCTGAAACCAATATAAAAATTCACTCACTTCATAATGGAAGAACTGGTTATGAATTATAGTACCAGAACCATTCTTAATATTCCTTTCCATCAAAGCAAGACAGCAAGAAACTATCATTAAGTCATTAAAGGAATATTTGTAAAGTTACTCTTTGAAGGACTGATGTTTTTATTGTGTCATCCAACTTCCCTTAAGCAGTAATCCCATTCTCCTTTATCTTCACTAAAAAACCATTAAAGTTTCATGGTAGAATAGTTCTCAACAAGAAAACATAGCCATTCAACAACACTCAAAACCAACTGAAAGCGAAAAGGATTTTAATGTACAATTTTAAAAATCACTGAACTAAATATTTTAGAATTTATTCTATAGAAATCCAAAAAGGAAAAATTTCCCCAAATATCTGCAGATAACATGTCACAAATCATTAATTTTATTAGAGATAAGTATCAATAGAAAGATCATTAAAATTCAATATAAATTACAAATTACTTTTACTTGGAATGGAACAGAATCTTAGATGAAACTTACTGACATTGAAACCTAGTGAAAAAGCCAGAAGAAATAATGGTAGATATTCCAAATTTCTACCATACAATTGGGCTGTAATCAATAATATGGTTAGAAAGGGACTTTGGAGCTGAGCTATGCATTGTGCATAAAGACAAGAATTTGTGATTTACCCACATCAAAGATGAGGCAATTTATTGTGGAGGAATGAGAGGGGATGAGAAGGGTGTTAAAGGGCCTCTACAAAAATTAAATTACCTATGAAATCCCTTAACAATTATTTTGCACCTATAGAGGGAAAATCCTCAGGGCCAATCTGATGAATTGTCCTGGATTTCAATTCTGTTTCAATTTATAAGTTGCTATCTTGAGCAAGTAACTCAGCCTCTTTCAGATTGCTTTTCTTCTTTAAATTAGATGTTAATAATCAGACCCTAAGAGTGGTGCTTGGCACCTAATAAGCATTTATGAATTAATGGGTGATGGCATGAATGCTTATATTACATGGATTACTTAAGACAAAAATAAGAAAGGGTGTATAAAATGTCTGATATCTAGTAGGGATACAACAAAATACTTCTCCTTTTATCTACTTCCTGTCATCACCACAACCTCCCTCTTACTCCACAAAGCATTAAATAAAAGATGTCAATGGTTTGATGAAAATTTTATTTATAGGCTTGTTTGTTTTGGTGGTGCTGGGGGTTGAACCCAGAGCCTTCATACAAAGGGACATCCTAAGTCTTCTCATTTTTTTATTTTTGGAGGCAGGGTCTCACTATACTGCCCAAAATGGGGTCAGATTTGTCCTTTTCCTACTTTAGCTTCCTAGAATATCAGGATAAATCTCTTTTTATAAGGCAGATGAGAGGAAACTAAGGGAAACTTGAAAAGAGTGTAGGAATAAGAAATCAGGTGTTTCTTCCTCTTTTTTTCTAAGTATCAGCCCTGTAAAGAGAGCAGGCACCTCCATTAGTATAACAGCCATCAGAGGCTTCTTTATAGACCCTCCTGCCCCAGAGCCTGGAGAACTCTCTGCGGACACCGGACCACAGCGAATAATTTCAGCCTGCAAGTCCAGGGACCAATGGTGAAGCTACAGCCTTGCTGGAGTGGTCAGTTCCTGGCTGCAGCTTTCTTTTCTCTACCTGGATACACTGATAAATAGCTCATGTCTCAAAAGAACGCTTAAAATCCAGTGTGTAGCACTGGAGGCAGTGCCTACTACGAAGAAATAGTCACAGCCCTCATGATTCTCAAGGTTTGCTGAAAGATAGATGACAGAGATTCAGGTAGGGTTAGGGCTAGGGTGCGGGCTAGAGAGGAGAGAGAGAAAAAAACAGACGGAGAGAGACAGAGAAAGATGGACAGAGACAGAATTTGCTAAAGCCTTGGAAAACCTCATTAGAAATATATCATCACGGTGCATTTTTATGATAGCATCAAACTTGTCCTTTTTGCTGTAGAAGAATTTAGTAGACCAGGAAAAAAAGACTATTTTAACACATTGGTAACATATTCTTTTTGACAACAGGAGGGATAAACTCAGGTCAACGGAATCATAATACCTTTATCAGAGACACTGTCACCTAAGCATGATAAAGACCACAGATTGATGAAAAGCATATTTTTTTCTTCACATGAAAATAGATAACAAAACATAATCTAGCAGACCTGTCTACCCTTATTAAATTTGCTTCCTCTAGGAGCCAGGCTTCCCTGTAAGTCTTCCATTTGGGTCAGAACTTAAAAAAGAAGAAAAAAGAAAAAAGGTCAGATTCTTCGTGTCTTTGTAATAGCCATGAGCATGGTCAGGAGTGTATTCCAAGTGAACATCAAAACAATACAAATAGAAGAAATTGCCTCTTTGCAGGAATAGAGAAACAGTAAAGCCTGTGGAGAGAAAGATAGCCCTCCTGATCTTTGAGGCAAATCTTCAGCCCCAGTTAACAGTGTGAGGATATAGAAAATGGAAAACAAATTGTAACTCCTTAAATTCCAGGCCTGTTCTTCCATGATCTCTACACGTGGTTCACACTGTATAAACGCACAGAAAAACCTTGGCAGGAGAGGGCAGATGCTGATTGCCTCGGGATCACTTAAATTCAAGCCTGCTGGAAAGCAAGATGCAAGATGTGTACAATGGTCCTTATGTTTGTCTCTCTAGCCAGAATTTTAGTAGCCAAAAATCTTTCACACCAGACAGCCTTCAGTTTTAATAATGAATCATCATTGCCCTAGTTATGCAGCCTTATATCATTTACTTATTTCTGGTGTTTCTGTGAAAGAAACAATGGTGGTATGCATGGTGGAATTTAATATCATCCGTCTAGGGCTACAGAGAAAATACTTTGGCTTTTTCAATTATAGCTTTCTGGGCAATTTTTACTCAGACTTGAAGCTCAGCTAAAAACAACACTTGGAAATTAATTTATGACTGATTTAGACAGTGAGAAAACTCTAGAAACACAAAGAGACATACCTGGGTTGTAGAGCTGGACACCCTCATTTTATCTTTCACCTGTTTACTCTTATTAAAAGCCTTAAAGTGAAAACTCAGGTTTTCCTTCATTATTTTTCCAAGAAGACTTTCATAAGAAAAGATGGGTACATATGTAAGAACCCACTTTCCTGTTTTCAGATTTCCTGCCCTGAAATCCAAACTCCAATATGCAGCTCTAATCTTTCTCGCTTTCCTAATTTGCTATATTTAAATACTAGCGTGCTCTGCCTTACAAACTTCATGTGCATTCTCAAAATAATGTGCATAATATGCATATTTTTAAGACTTTGCAAACTATAATTTCCCCCCAAAATGCCTGATATACACACATATTTAATAAATGGTGGTTTCTTTCAAATTGATTTTTGAAACCTGTTTCAGTTGCAAAACTCAGGTAGTTCTGTTTCCCAGGTAGAATTTCAGTGTTAGATTTATAAGTGAGTCTCATAACAATACAACTTAAAGGTCATACCCGAAACAAGTTAAATGAGGGCCAATTGTTCATATTACAAATATACATTTTACTTTCCAGAAACTTGGCATGAAAAAATTCTTTCTTAAAAGTTACACTTTTATGTGCTTCCATCATTAAAATATCCCTTTTTAATATGCACATTTCTACCATATTTGGAAATTATTAGACATAGAACCTCTGAGAAACAACAGAAACTACAAAGACTATAGTGTATTGATTGCTTATTAGTAGTGAGGGTGAAAGGATTTTGCCCCAGATGGGACACTGTAGCCGGTGGGAAGTTGGGCGGTGAGGTGGAAACAAGGGGCTCTGTCTTGAGGTCACCTTTCCCCGCCCCTAGGCAATTTACCTGTGTCGTAAAATGAATACCAATGGGCTACCAGTGCATCACTAATGCCCCTTAGGCACCACCCCATACCTAAGCTACAGGTATGCCTCCACACCACCTGTCTGGCAGAGAGAATGCCAGACGCCAGAGGTCATGGAGTCTCTCCCCACATTCTTAAAATAAAGCCCACTTTTATTTTATACTTCTTATCTTTTTAGCCGCACTGAAAATTCTATCAGATGGTTCCCTTCCAGCCGATAATCCTATCAGAGGGTACCAGTATCAACTACCACTTAAAGTAATTATAGCAAAACAACAATGATTAACATTTACTGGGCACCCAACACATGCCAGGCACTGTGTCAATTTATGTTTTATTCCATCTTACTACAGCCTTCTCAGTTACATGTCCTTTATTTTGCAAATGAGAACAATGAATTTTAATAAGGCTGTCTGGTTCCATTTTCCATTGCTATATAATTTCCTGAAATTTATAATTTAGAAAGGAAAAAGTGTCCTTAGGCTCTCAGATCTGGAGATTGGGAAGTCCAAGATTGGGCTGCCACCCCTAGCAACGTCCCTGGGCTGTTTCACACCGCAGTGGAAGTCAGAAGGGTAAGTGGATGTGTGGGAGAGGTGGAACACGACTGATAAACCTGCCCTCTAACAACTCGCTCTCAAGGAGCCTAACCCAGCCCCACAAGGGCAGGAAGTCACTCACTACTTACAGTATTAACCCAGTCCCACAAGAAGACATTAATCTATTTGTGAAAACTCTGACACCCAACATTCCCACCAGCCCCGTCACCCAGAATGGTCACAGGCGTTGTGAACTTTTAGGAGACACCAGAGCAGAGGCCAAGTAATCTGCACAAGATTACATAGGAGATAAGAAGCAGAAATTTTAACAGGGTCCTGCTGAGGCATAGCCATGCATAGAATCACTATTCACTCCCTTCCAGAGGAACAAAAGAGGCTGTTAAATTGATCTACAGCGGGCATAAAACTTTGGCTTCCAACATTAACCAGATAACATATGTGAAACTAGACAACAAAATAAAAACTTATAATTACTATAAATTATCAAAATAGGAAAGGAATGACTCAGTAACAGATGAGTTGCTTATGATATTCTGAGACTTAAAAAATAATTCTTCACCAGGTAATGTATTCTTCACAAATAT